TCCTCTGCAGAAGAGGTTTTAGGCTTTGAATTGTAAGGCTGACATGGTCTGCTCTCATCAGGTTCAGAACACGGAAGATCTCCCTTGTGAGCACAAGAAAAATCAAAAGGCATTTTATTTTTGTTTTACAAACTAAACAAATATAACAGCGTTTCTCACTTAAATGCATAAAAGCAAACAGTTTTATTTACTTGAATAGTGTAACAATGTTGTCTGTGCTTTCCCGTAGCTTCCTGATTTCTCCATCCCTCACTGGAGCACACATCTTTCCCATGGTGGTAATGATATAAGACGCAAGTCGCTGGATGTCTACAGCTTCATTTTCAGCCTGCTGACGAATTAGGTCCATGTCCAGCACCTCCATGATCTGGGTCCGCATCCGATTGGCACCCGGGTTAAGGAACGACAGCAAGATCTGTAGGGAAGGGCAAAACACTTAGGTTGAACGTCATTCTATGCTGACCATATTTGGGTTTTTAACTCAAAGCAGACACAAGAGAGAAGAGGCAATCTGGTTTGAACTAATGTAAAGAAGCTGCTAACATCCGATGCAGCACTGACCTCTCTGATCTCCTGTAATAATTTAATGGCGTGCTGATACTCAGGCGGGTCGTCGTTCAGCTCAGTCTCCAGGATATCCCAATAGGCCTTTTGGACATTATCTCTTACTGCATTCAATAAACTGCAAAAAAACAAACTATTCACTCTGTAGAACACAGTGAACACAAATGCTGCAGTGTGTGACTTTTGCCATGAATTTTATATCTAATAAGCTGATTTAGGTTTTTGGATACTAAGAAGCAGCTTTCAGGTTACTAGCAACTGTCAGCTTTTTATTTACTGCTGGAATTAGACTTTAAATTATTTGGAAACGACTTCACAACCTTTTACAGACCAGAACGCAGCAGCAATCGCTTCTCTAAGATCACTGCTAAAACTCTGCATTTTTGTAGAAGTAACACCACTCTTGAATCTTAAAGCTACACCAAGGGTATACTTAGTATTTTATATGATTCTTCAACTATTTTGTTCAATGCTAGACTTAAAGCATTTTTCCCCCTTATTTGATCAGTTATTACCATAGAAAGATATGAGTGAAATTAACATTAAATTCCATTTTAGTTCTCATTGGACACAGACAAACATACTTAAATGGATTATGGGAAGTACCTGTTCTGTGGCCCTCTGTTTAGGTCCAAATGGAAATCAAAATTGGCAATCTCATGTGCAAGTTTGAGATCAAAAAGTTCTCTTCCAGCCTCCATGACTTCATCTAGAGACAGGGTTTTGGGTGGACTTGCTGTGGGAAGAAAACATAGTTATTAAAGCTATGGAAAGCTATTAATTGATAAATTTGCAGCAGTTTAAAGTAAACACCATCTTGTAAAATAGAAGCCAGCTACAAGAAAAGTAGAGAAAACAAGTGATGGACAACTTGAAAAACTTGCAAATACTGAAATGGACTAACAGGAAGGAGTGCTTTGTTTGCTGGAGCCGTCGCTGTTGAAACTGTCACGAGAGCAGTCTTGGTCACTAGTGAGCGATGACTCCACATCGCTGCTTTGGTCCTCACTCCTGGATGATGAGTTGGCCCTCTCATCATTTAGAGGCATCCTGGTTTACAGCTGCACAGGAGATATTCATAAAACACAAGGTCTTGAATCACATTTTCTCTCATCACAACTTAAAAGTACTTTATTGGTTTTTTTTTTTATGAGATAGACCACATACTGTGAGGATTGTTTTGAAGTTGAGGGAAGCGATTCCTTAAATAACTCCTCTCCTCCACTACTAAATTCCCAATTAGTGAAGCTTAAATTTCCATTTTTCCAAACTTTAAACAAATTATAAATCTGGGGTATACATATCAGTTGATTCAGTTATGAACTGTCCTTAGTGCCTAACAAATAAAATACCATCTCATCTAAACAGCATTAAACTGCCGAAGAGGAAGAGGCGAAAATTTTTGGTTGCCTATGACTGCATCAAAAACACTGCTACACACAACAGCTGGTAGGCTGGTTACCACAGATACGGCAATAGCTATTGAAAGTGATACCACTCGAGCTATCGAACACAGAGGATTTCAACAGGATGTAGTGTTAAACTCAGACAACACATAAGGGATGTGCTTAATTGTTTGGTTTTAGCCTCAAAGGAAAACATTAAAAGACCACTCTCCAACAGAAAGCTGGTAAAATGACATAACAGGGGGGATCATTTTACACCTGACCATTCGCCGTCTGTTTGATAGAGAAGTATATCACCCCATGGGGAGCATTACTTTGCTTTTATTAGCATAAACACCGAGTACAGGACATGCAGAGGGAAACTTGCATCGTTTTACTTCCTGGTCTCAGTTATCTGCAGCCAGATATGAATACATGCTCAGCTCTGGCAGTATAAAGATAGCTCAAGGGGTGAGCATGAAGGGAGGGAAGGGGGGGTTAACAAGATTAAATTCTGCAAATGATCATCAGCTAAAACTGACAGCTAAATCAAACTGAAGCAGCATTATTTTTTTTAAAGATAATCCAGTAGGTTTGAGTGGAGCAAGATAATTAGGGATTAGATGTAATCTTTATTAGGAAAATCCCTTTTGGATGTTTTCTGAATATGTAGAACTAAATGTTGGCTCAAAATAATGCAAACCAGGCTGAATTAATATTCTTTAAACATGAAGAAAAAATTAAATAACAATGTTACACAGTTTTTACATTGTTATAATTACATGTAACAAGTGACATATTTGGACAAAAGTATATCAATTTCCATCAATGTTCAATAAACAGAAAACAATAGACTAAAATTGTGTTTTACATTAAACAATAATAAAAGCTATTGAAAAGGATCTGATTATTTAGTCTATAATCAAAACATTAAACAACCACATTTTAGAATGATAATATACCAATATTGCTGCAACAATGGGGTGAAATAAATACTAAAACGTCTATAGTTTTATATAATGATCCCCTAAAACACCAAATATTACAGCAGAATAATGTAAACAAAGCCTTAAATAAGGAAGGAGGGGCAATCTACAGAGGAGCTTCTGCTATTGGCTGCTGCTGCCTGTCAATCATCCTGCCATGGAAAACCTTTGGTTGTCTAGTTTTGCACATGGATAAAAAATATCCACACATACGTAAGAAATCAGTGCACGTGATCGGAGCTACTGACCAAAACAAGAACCTTGTGTACATTTGAGGCCGTAGGTTAGATTTTAACTCATAACATCTGTTTGTGCAACGACTGAATGCATTCAGTTCAACTCGGCGAACACGGAGCGAAATGTCAAACTCGACAATAATGTTTACATTTAACTGAATGTCTCGTGAAGCATACAGGCTGTGTTTTTCTTGGTCCAGCTGTCAAAGATCAATGCTTTTGTTTGCCTTAACGTCTTCGACTTTCAATCTAATACTGTACTTTTATTTCCGCTTTAAAACAAGGTGACACTCGGTGGTAATAGTCAATGTCGTCAAAAAAACAGCTATTGAATTGGACGGGATACTAAACTATAGAGTATCCTTCACAAAAATAGGATTTACCTCATGGAAGTTCGCACAAAAGAAGACTGAAACTGTGTCAGCAGCGTCGAGTTCAGCTCTATTTGCCGTTTAAAGGTCCCAAGCTCCGAGTCTAATGGTTCAAACCATTTCACTCATGTTGGTCTTTTAGTGCTAAACAAGCTAACAAACAACATCTTATTTCACAAAATAATTGATATCTACATTTTATAGTATGTGCGACACTAATGTAAGTGGTAAGGAGGTTCGAGAAGGATACTATTGGTTAAACGTAAAGTTGCAAATGTCATGTAAAATGGTATTGTCCAATCTGCCTCACAACCCAGGTGTACGGCAAACCATAGTATCATATAATCAAACAACTTGTTTATCTGACTTTTTAACCATTAAGAATGTATGATGACTTATACAGATTTATTTTGTCATTTTGTGTACGCAAACGGAAATTTCTTTAAGAATAGCTCTCCAGATAATTTCATTTTTTTAAAGTGCATACTTGAAAACAGCAAAAAAATACGTAAAATAAGTAATACAATCATATGACTGTATATTTACAGTTCTAACATTTCAGGCTTTTTTAAGAATATTTTCTTTAAAATAAAAATAGGGGCTGCTCAATGGCACAGTGGGTAGTACTGCTGCCTTGCAGCAAGAAGGTTGCGGGTTCTCTTTCTGCATGGAGTGTGCATGCTCTCCCTGAGCATCCTTTGGGTTCTCTCCGGGTACTGCGGCTTCCTCACACAGTCCAAAAACATGATAATGTTAAAAATAATAATAAGACTTGGACTCAGGCAACTTTTATTGTCATTTTGTATACACAACACACAGTGTACACAACACGAAATTTTGTTTTGTACAGCTCCCATGACATTTCTATTTCTTAAAGTGAACGGCATATTTTGTGGAATTGTCGAGAGCTATATCAAGTCGCTGCCGCCATGATGAATGTTCAACAACAATAACAAAAACAGTAATACAAATATAAAATCCATTATTCTGTTTTTCACAATAAGGCATTTAAAACATCCAGAATATGCTTGTCCTTGTCTTCCATTGTCATCTTAGATGACTCAGACAATGTTATAAAATACATGATTTTTTTTTCGTGAGCTTTTGACCTCAGACTTTAAACTTTACATAATACAATTTAAATGGCTCTGATATAGTCTGTACAAGTCTAATTTAAAGTTTTTTAAGGCTGATCTGTTTTATGTTTAATGATCTTAAAACATATTTACTAGATTTGTATAGCTACATAAGTGCTGTGTTTTAGTGTCAAATGTTGGTTTTTAATATAATTTTTTTTTTCAAATACATTCTATGTCGTCTGTACTCATTTAAATGTGGGCAGGACCAAGAAAACTCCAAGAGTATATGTTTGTTTGTGTTTAACTATTAAATGATAAAGCTGACTTCCATTCACCTAGAAAGGACGTTTTTTTGTTTACAGACCTTTCTCGTCGAGGTGTGACTCTTTTCCTCGCCGCTTGGAAGCAGCAGTGTGTGCCTTATTACAATGTACCAACGAAGAAGAATATAGTTGTATGATGGCGGTTGATTTGACTCCACGGTTTCGAAGGTTGAATAGTCAAACGAGAAGTCTCAGAGAAAATACCCCGAATGGTAAGATTTTAGCGAACAAATATATTTATTTAACATAGCCACAAAAACTTTGAACTGGAATATATCTTTATATAAATAATTTGAATAGCTACCTCCTCTTAACTCGATGTTGTTTTGCACTTCGAACCCTCAAAGTGGTTCTTTATCTGTTTTTCTTTAGTCTGGGGAAGAATTATAACTGATCTCTTATTTTATAGCATCTAACTAGAGACCTCAATAACGAAATGTAATATAACGGAAGTTTACTCTGTTTTAAATTTGCTGCTTAAAAGGCGATTATGAAATTCCTCTGGAAAGTGTTAATATAACTGGTTTTCTAACATTATAAATTTCCCAGTTTTCCCTGACCTGCTTCCTTAAACCTTCTGAAGAACCAATCACTATATTATGATACTGCCACCTACGTGCCACGCCATCTTTCTTGTTCTGCATGTAAACCAAAAAAGTCCTGGGAACTTTTTGTCTTTTGGTGTTTCCACAGTGCTGTTTGTTCACTAATGTTCTCTGAAAAACCTCAGATCAGCTGTAGTTGCAGGGAAATAAAATGATCCACAGTTTGACCCTATTTAGCTGATTCATCAAAGCAACAGGCTTGTTTTATTTAAGAGTGTTAGACTAAGGATTAAAGATTTTCTGCTACTATTTTATTTCTAAAATCCTAATATTCCACTTTGTGTTGATCCGTCTTATATGATCCTCCAAAACATTACCTTTATGTTGTCAAAAGTGAGACAGTTCTTGGGTTATGGACACTTTCGCATGGCACTCTTTATCATTTTGAGACATACAACACACCTGCAGCACCTTTTAGAGATCATCCCCTATTTGAACTTTCAGATTTCATCTTTGCTGGTGAAGATTCTCAGTCATCCAGGTAGTAATCATTTCAAAAAAGTAAAAAAAAAACAGTCCACTGGACTTTGTTTCCAAGTTTGGAAACGTTTTGCTTCCCATCAAGGATGCTTTTTCAATTCAGGATTTTAGAATAGCGTTGAGTTCGAGGCTTTATAGAGTGGACTTGTTCAATTTACATGTTTTTGAAGCCAAAACAAGGCTTTGTTTTGGCTTTGTAAAGCCTCTAACTCAAACCTATTCTGGATGGGAAGCGAAATGTCTTCAAACTTGGAAAGAAATTCCAGTGGATTGTTTTTTAACTTTTTTGCAAAGAATTCATCTTTATTTTGTACATAATCATTTTTAGGACAGAGTTTGATACTTACCTGTTACCACTTTTAAAGAAACCCCCTTTTAAGTCCACCCAATTTGAACCATGATCTTCCAACAGATTTCTCAAGGCCTTTCGGTGCGACACAGCTTTGGCAGAACATCATCCATGCCCTGCGGACTCAGGTGGAGGTGTGTCGCCTCAGGAAACACCTCCGTGTTCACACCGAATGCTTCACTGGGTCGGACGCCGTGGATGCAGTTCTCAGCTACCTGATGCAGAACGTGGTGTTCTGCACCAGCGAGGTGTCGCGCCTCAAAGCTGCTCGGCTCTGCCAGGCTCTGATGGAGGCCAAGGTGTTTGAGTCGGTGGGCACAAAGCTTTTTCGCAGAGACAAAGAGGCGAATTTTGAGGACAGTAGCGGCAGTCTTTATCGTTTTATGGAACAGAAGACCATAAATGGTCCTGCCATCAAGGAGGACAGCAGGGATGCAGAAAATATTCTGCTAAATGAACATGAGACAAAGAGGAAGAAGATCTCAAGGTTGGATCAAATTTTATTTTCTCAGAATTGTGATCGTGTCTTATCTTAACTTTGTTGTTCAGATGACATTAATGCAGTCTGATTGAGCATGGATGTTATATTAATTAACTTCTATTTAATATTTCCATGTAAATAATCTTGGTTTTTATGTATTTGTAGTTTATGAGGATTGGTGACTTCCCTCCTTTTTTATTGTTAAATCCACTACGTGGAAAGCTAAAGTATACTTGGCAGCAATCGGGCTCCACAGCATGATGTTGCCTACGCCATGCTTAACAGTTGGCTGGTGGGAAGCCAGCTTTGTCTTTCGACAAAAAAAAAAAAAAAAATTTCGGTTCTTCCAAGATGTTGTTGTGCCTTTAAACTCCGAATATAGGAGATTGATTAGGATGTTTAGAACAGCTGAGACTTAATCCGCTGCTACATTAATTTCATGTCATTTACTGAATGATTTAAATGATTCTGAACAGGAGTGTGTTGGTGAAAACAGCTCGTACTTACTATGTATATGTGGCTGAATGTTTAGATGTTAGCCTTACTACTGTGGCCTGTTGCGTATCAGAAAACGTTCAATACTAATTCAAACCTGTGCAATTAATAGTTCTTTTGAGTATATAAAGTAAGGTGTTGTTCTATTCCTCCACTCTTCTTGCCCTTTAGGCTTAATGAAATGAGGACCTTCTCCAACCCTCTTGCCGTCGAACCATCAGACAGGAGAGTCGAGCGGCTTTTCCGGACCATCAACCTGCAAACGTCCTTCTCCCCTGTTAGGAACAGAGCAGCCTCCGCTTCCAGCTTCCTGTCTAAAGCTGGTAATGATAGAACTGTTTGGTTTTGGGATCTTATTATTTTAGTTTTGTTTATTTGTATTTTTTCCCTCCGTCTCCAGTGGTGGATGAGGTTTGGAAGCAGCAGACCCTCCTGCAGCTGCTGCTGATCATAGAGCTGCCAGTGTTGGACTGCATACTCACCTCTCCTGAAAGGCTTCGTTCTAGAACCTGCAGGGCTCCTCTGGCCAACTGCGACCTGGTTATCTCTAACACCTGTCTGGAAAGAGACCTTCCTGATTCACTCAGCCTCCTTCAGTCCGTACTTGATCAAATGTTTAAACACTGACCCTTCGAAATGTGTGTTGAGAGGATTTTGAATGTTTCACCCCCTTTTTCTCCACTCAGAATGGATTCATGGCTTACAGCGGCAGCAGACTGCCTTGAGCTGTTTCCAGATCAGCTGATTATGGTCACAGGGGAAAATCTCAGCCAACAAAGTGGTGACAGTGCAGAGCAGAAGAGACTCCTCTTTGACACCATTTCCAAGTATTACAACGGACAGGAAAAAGCGCCACTAATATCAGGACGCTACCTGGATATACATGTCGCAATTCTGCATTTATTGGGTAAGAGCAGGCCTGCAGATGTAGGATGACATGTGAAGGGTTGAAGTATGAAGTTGTAGTTTCTAATGTCTTTAGTTGGTTCTTTAGATGATGGGAAGACGCGGGAAGCCGTCAGAGCGTCTCAGCTGTGTTTGCGGCTGCTGGAGACGAGTGTGAGGGATGAACTGAGGAGACTCCTGGCCTTCATGGCTGCTGCTGCTCAGTCGGAGGCTTGTCGGCTGCAGAAGCAGGTAACAAAAAAACTGACCTCCCAGCTGCTTTTCCTCTGTATCTTCATTTTTAATATGTTTAAGAAAAAAGCTCCTATATTGATTGTTTTCGTTGATAGAATTAGAGCTGATTGACTCACTTCAGCCTGTTTATTTCTTTAGGTTGACAACAGGACTTTTGTCTGCCGCACTTTTCAGAGAGCTCTTGTTCAGAGCCATGAACTCACTCGACCTCAGAGCGAAACCCTGGTACTGTTTCTCATGGACCATCATGCTGAACTCTTTAAGGTGCGTTGCTTTTAGGGCCATTTGTTAGATTTCACTTTTAGATCCAGGAAAATCCTTCTGTATCTCACAGCTTTATCAATCTTGTGCAGAAACTAAAAAAAAACTTGACTAACTGTATCTAAAGAGCCTTGTAAAAGTATTTATAAATCTATTAGAAAACCACACTTTAATGTACGTTTATCAGGATTTTCAGTTTTTGTCCTGCTTTAAGGTGAACATCTAAAGTAAGTCTATAACAAATATTTCTTCTTTTTCCCATTTTTTCCTTATTTCCATCCCTCTGCTCAGAGTGATGTTAACTGTTAGTTCACCACAAACTTTAACAACAGAATTAAGTGGTGCTGCATCCAAATGAAAGTCCACTTTTTAAAGTTTAAAGAAATGTACTTTAAATATTTTTGTAACATTGTATAAAGATTATTTTCTCTTGTATTTCCTCCCTGGCTGTTCTGAAAGACTCCTGCAGCACTTATTGAAGCGGTGAGAAGAGCATTAAGGACCTTGCAGCAGGGGAAGGACCCAGATTCAGTTGCTAGTAAGTTGAACTTTGATGAAGCTTTAACATGTCATCTAAAAAAAATCAGTTTTGAATGAAATTTTCTTTTCATTTTGTAAAGAAATATTTTTGTGCATTTGATTTAGATATGCAGTCTGAATTTCTAACTGCAGAAAGTCATAATCCTTGCAATTCTAAAGTTGTTTTTATGTCCACTTGGGGGCGCTGCTGTTCCAGGTTTCACCTGAATGTTAAAGTAATTTAAATGCAGAGTGAATACAAATTGTTCCCTCTGTTTTGCAGCCTTTACTTTCTGCCAAAGGGTAACCCGGCAGGAGTACGAAGATCAGCGGGAAGCCAGCACTCTTGAAAGTCTCAAACAGCTCCTCTGTCACATTTCATCCAACACGAGCATGGCTGCAAAGGAGAAGAGGAAGCTGCTCAAGGAGTTTGAAAAGCATCACCCAGTGGTCTTCCTCCAGCATTTTTCTTACTCTTTCTAAATCAAATGCTGTCAAAATGTTATTTGATATGTGAAGAAAATTGAATAATTTTAACCAAAATTTGCAAATCAAAGTAAAAAAAAAAAGACATTTAATTATCCTAAATCAAATTAATGTTGAGACTTGTTGCTTTGTGTTTGAGTTGTTTTAGGAAAGCATATAATGAAACGAAAATGGATAAAAGTAGGAACTTTTGTTATTTGAAACTTGATTACGATAAACCCCGCTTGATGTTTTAATTTAACATTCTTCCTGTGCAGTGTTATAACACATTTATATGTAAAAATATCAGTTGGAAAAAAGTTTTTGTAGCTGACCTTGTTTTGTTGCATCAAAAGGTGTAAGAAAAGGGAAGGAAAATAATGACACTGAATTTTGTAGTATAAATCTTTTTTCTTTACTTTTACATAAGATTTAAATGAAATGAAGGCTAGATTAATGGGTTATTATGGTAGTACCTCAGGGTAACATTTCATTTGTAGGTTCTCAGGACATTTAGTGCTACTAACTATAATGTTTATAATTTAAACTTTTAAATACTTGAATTGATATAAAATTAAGTGAGTATTATAAATGACTTGGTGTAATTTTAGGCCGCTAATGTATTATTTGATGAGATTGGCTGACGCATTTTGATTTTAGTTTTATTTTTGTAAAACAATGTTAAAAGAATGACTCTAATTGTTTTTCTCATTTTATAACACTGAAATAATTAAATAATGCACTTTATTATGTTGAATTAAAGCTGTCCTCCCAATTAAGGACTGTATTTTCTTGTAATTATTATTTTTTTTTGTTTAACTGTGCCACCATTAAAGTATTCATTTTAGAACTTCACATTCAGTTATCACCGCAAACCTTCATGAGTTTTTATGGGTTTTTATCTGAACGTATTAAGAGCAGAAAATAAAACTTAAATATATGCCCTCTATTAACATTAATTTGTTGAAGAAAAAAAAAAAGAAAAGGAAGAAGTTGAATATTTTAATTTCTCAACAACTCTTATTACTTTTCGTTTTTGTTTTGAAGTTTTAATTAAACAAGTGTTATTTTTTTATTTTTTCAAAATAAACTCAGATTTTTTTTTTTAGTACCAATACATAACTTATCAGAAAATTATAGTTCCATATTTTCCATTAGTGCATCTAAAACCGTTTTTTAAAGTTTTTATGACAATAAAACTTGTTTTTCTAGAGCCTCGGAAAATGTGACGTATGATCACCTGACGCAACTGAAAAAAAAGAAAAAACCCGGAACTAAGCTGCCGTTTTCCTAGCATGCTAAGCTAACTCATTTCGTATGCTGCTGGAAGGCGACATGGGGGCTGTATTTCACAGCCTTTAGTGATCGTAGCGGTGCATGCTAATAATTCTAATCAGACTGAAATCTGAGAGTTTCCTTTTTATTACGGTAAGTAGTTCGGGGATTTTAAACGGGCTATTTTTTAATAAAACATTGTTGTAACGCCGCTGTCTACTTGCGCAAAACTGGTGGCTAGTTTGATAGCTTGAGTATATCTCCCAGCAAAATACCTTTTATTTTGTGATAGCACTACATAAGCTTAATGTCAGTTAAATGATCATATCGTATATTAGATGTTTGTCTCAAAAATATATTTATTTGCTTGGAAAAAATGCCATTGTTCGACCAGTATTAACGTTTGCATTCAGGCTACAAAAAGACGGCTTACTTTGCTAACCCCCAAAACACTTCACTATCTGACCTGCCTGTTGAAGTAAAACTAAGTGAAACCTTCTCTTTTTCAACTTGACGCCTAAAAATATGCTTGAAGTTATGAGTCGTTTATCTACGTCATGTTTTCAACCGTTTTATTAATGTTTGACGTGTCTTGCCAGGAAGTGTCTGCAGGTGGTTGCCCTTTAAAATGGTCATCTTATTCATTAGCGCGTGCGTTTCCACAGAGGTTCAATTCCCCTTTAAGATCACTTGAGGACATTAGTTTATACATATAAATTACTCCAATTCAAGTGCCTGGAAAATCATCAGTCTTATTACTGTTTTTCGGTCCGTTTTTCGGCCTCATCAGATCCCAATACCAATTATTATTTATTTTGTGTGAAGGTAAATGTCAAGTTTGAAAGATGAAAACACTAAAATTTTAAAGGCAACCTTATATGATTAATAAAATAGGTTTGCAGCCAAACAGACATTTTATTTGTAGCTCTGTAACACAAATTTCTCATCAGTGTTATCTTTATGTGTAAGAAGATGCTGTCCTCTCTCTCTCTCTTTTTTTTTTTTTTAGACAGCTAAATATGTTTTTAATGGAACAGGTGTAAATGCTTTTTTCCCCCTTTTTTTAAGCCAGCTGACCCAACAGTGTGCAGGGACATGAGAGGCAGTGCCCTTGTTGGTATATGTTTAAAACGTAGAACCCAAAATTTCAGACACTGATGCTTCTTTTGGCTTCTCATCAAAATGACTTCAAACCATAGGAACATTATCTCAGAAAAAATAGCAACTTTGAGACTCTTAGCTTTTTAATAATAATAATAATGAATTTTATTTATCATGCACTTTACATTTGATTTCAAATCTCAAAGTGCTACAAAACAAGTTTAAAAGACCATAACATTAAAAACAGAGTAAAAAGACAGTCATTAAAATCAATACATTAAAAGGCATACGTAGCCTATTAAAAAAAAATCTAAAATCAACAATTGTAGGAATTTCTAAAAAGGAAAGTTTTTAGTCCTTTCTTAAAACAATCCACCGTCTGTGGGGCCCTAAGGTGGTCTGGGAGGGCATTCCACAGACGGGGAGCTGCAGCTTCGAAGGCCCTGTCGCCCATTGTTTTTAGCCGTGTCCTGGGTGGGGCCAGACGGTGCTGTTGGCCTGACCGGGTCCGGGAAAAGGTGTGTGGTGTGAGCAGTTCAGTGAGATACATGGGGGCCGCACCGTGCACACAGTGATGGGTGTGCAGAAGAATCTTGTACTCTATACGGGCGTGAATGGGCAGCCAGTGTAAAGTGTGAAGGATGGGAGTGATGTGCTGGTGTTTCCTCACCCTCATCAGGACCCTGGCAGCGCTGTTCTGTACATACTGGAGCTTCTGAAGGCTCCTGCCAGAGATCCCGACGAGGAGAGCGTTGCAGTAATCCAGCCTGGAGGAGACGAAGGCGTGGACGAGCTTCTCTGCAGCAGGGAGGGATAGGGAGGGACGGAGTTTAGAGATATTACGGAGGTGAAAGAAGGTCGTTTTGCAGATGGAGGTGACATGATTGTCAAAGGAGAGGTGGGGGTCAAGCTTGACCCCAAGGCTTGTAACAGAGGGAGAGAGGGGAATGGTATGACCACAGAATGAAACAGAGGTGAGAGGAGAGGAACGGAGTTGATGAGGAGTACCAGTTTGGATGGCCTCTGTTTTTGAGGCATTAAGCTGCAGGAAGTTTTGATTCATCCACGCCTTTATATCCTCCAGGCAGGAGCTGAGGCGGGTGACAGAGTTGGCGGGGGAGCTGGGAGGAGTCATTTTAATGTAAAGTTGTGTGTCGTCAGCATAGCAATGGAAGTTGACCCCATGCCTGCCGACGACACAACTAAGGGGGAGCATGTAGATGGTGAACAGGGTAGGGCCGAGCACGGAGCCCTGGGGGACCCCACAGGTGACAGTGTGAGGTCTGGATTTTGCCTCCCCCAGGGCCACGTACTCGGTCCTGTCAGTGAGGTAGGAGTGAAACCAGTGGAGGGCAGTGCCAGAGAGACCAATGAAATGCTGGAGGCGGTGGAGGAGGATGTGGTGATCTACTGTGTCAAACGCAGCAGACAGGTCAAGAAGAATGAGGAGGGACGTGAAACCGGAATCAGAGGCCATCAGCAGATCGCTGGTGACTCTGATGAGAGCTGTTTCTGTGCTGTGGGAGGGGCGAAAACCAGATTGGAATTTTTCATACAGATTATTGCATTTAAGGTGGTTGTGGAGCTGGGTGGAAACAACTTTTTCTAGGAGTTTGGAGATGAATGGGAGGTTTGAAATGGGTCTGTAGTTTGACAGAGGTTCAGGGTCCAAGGTGGTTTTTTTTAGGAGGGGTTTAATGAGGGCAGTTTTAAGGGTAGATGGGACGGTACCCGTTTCCAGGGAACTGGCTATTATTTTGGTTATGAGATGACTAATGGATTGATGGTGAGTTTTGAGCAGAGGGGATGGGAGGGGATCTAAAGAGCAGGTGGATGATTTAGATTTGCGGATGATGTTCTCGACCTCCTGCTGCGTTGGCAAAGAGAAGTGTGATAGGAGTTGTGTGGGAGATGTCTCAGGGGTATCAATAGTGGTGCTGTTTGAAGGTGAAAGTGAAGAGCGGATGCTGTCTATTTTTGATATGAAGAAGTCCAGAAACCGGTTGCAGTTTATATCTGTGTGGTTGTAGAATGAGGAGACCTGTGGTTTGAGAATATGGCTGATTGTGGAAAAGAGTTTTCTGGAATTACCTGGTTTATTGTTGATGAGCGAGGAGTAGTAATTGGACCTGGCCTTGGAGAGGGCTGTTGCATAATTTCTGCGATGTTCCCGGTAGGCCAATTTATGCACCGTCAGGCCAGATGTTTTATATGCCCGCTCCAGGACATGGCCAGACCTCTTCATTTGCCTTAGCTCTTTGGTGAACCAAGGAGCGGAACGTGTGAATGTGACAGTCCGGGTTATTACAGGAGCATGAGTATCCTGGATGGAGTTGAGGCTTGTGTTGTAGAAGTCCATTAAGTCACTGGCTGATGAGAGTGGAGAGGGGGAAAGATGCTGAAGATGTGAGCTGAAGGATGAGGAATCAATGTTTTTGATGTTTCTGAAAGTGATATGGCGTTTTGGTTTGGTGAAAAAGGTTATTGGGAGTCTAAATGTTACTGCCAGGTGATCTGAGACACCAACATCGTATATGTTGATGCTGGTGAGTGGAAGGGAGTCAGTTATAACAAGGTCCAGAGTATGCCCTTTGCTGTGGGTGGGGCCATCTGTCAGCTGTTGAAGATTTAGACAGTCCAAAACCTGTTTGAATTCGGCAGCTAGACGGGAAGTGTGTGAGTCCATGTGTATATTGAGATCACCAATTACAAGAATATTTGAGTGTGCTGTGCAGAGAGAGATTAGGAACTGATGAATGTCAGAAATGAAAGTTGGTTGTGGTTTAGGGGGGCGATATATGACAGCTACTGTAGCAGAGAAAGGATTATTGCATTTAAAAACAAGGCTTTCAAAGGAGGAAGCACCGGGTACAGACAGGAGGGACACTGCAAAGTAGCTGCGAAATAAAACAGCAAGGCCCCCACCCCGCCCAGTTGTGCGGGCTTTGTCCAGGTATGAGTACCCTTGTGGGCAGGCCTCATTCAGGGTGCTGTAGACACCGGGCTGTTGCCAAGTCTCTGTGAGGCAGAGAATGTCTATTTCTTTGTCCAGAATGTGATCGTGGATGAATCCGGATTTCTTTGACAGTGACTGCACATTAAGCTGTTCCATTGTGATGTGGGAATTTGAGTCCAGTTTATGCAGAGAGCGGAGAACGCTGAAATCCACTCCAGGTCTTCCAGTTCGCCGGTCCAACTCAGCCATATCTGAGGAAGGCATAGCGGCGCTCAGATGACGCAGATGGTGACGTACCTGTTGCGCGACAGGACGTGATGCCGACCAGAAGGATGCGATGGAGCTGTGGTCACCGCGTTTGGACATTACAAGGCGGCGCCCGGATCCCCGGTGGATGTAACGGGGTCGACGTGGAAGATCCAATGGAGCTCTGTTGATGTTGAGAAT